ATATATAGCCTAAGTTTAAAAGCAGGACTATCTTGCTGATTATACATGTAAGATGTCTTTCTCTATACTATTGAGAAACTTGTTTTACGCTTGATATTTTTAGAGAGTTAAAAATGTTTTATAGTTTATCACATTTTTTTATTATTTGACATATTTCTATAAATACAAACCAAAATTTGTAATTGCACATTTTTTAAATGGTTTATACCATTTAATCATAAAATCCTATTAATAAATACAATATTACAACAAGCTGTAAATCACAAAATATTCTAAAAATATTCACAACTTAATAATTATTATAACTTAGTCATAAATTATAAACAATCTTATTCCATCCCATTCTATATACAGATTTACTTTTATAAAGTACATAATTTATTTTTTTTTAATTATGCTTAGAAAAAACAATATATTTATTGCTAAAACAATTAAATATACAGTTAACAATTAAAAATACAATTCTTATAGAAAAATAAATTATTGCATCTATTAACTCAGAAATTGTACTCGTGTGACTGTGCGATTCTCAGTCTATAAATTGTATAAATTTTTATAAGTATATAAATATTTTGTACTATTCTATTGTAATATATACAAAATTAGACTTCGTAAGCCTAACATAAAGCCTAAGAAAGTTGACTATTACATTTTTGTTTTATAAAGATACAATTTTGTGTTACAATAATAAACAGTCTTTTACGAAAATTTCAGCGTTTGATAGAGAAATAATAGTTTGTATATTATTATGAACAAAAATCCAAAAGGCCAAGAACGATCCATAATTAGAAGCAATATATATTCTATTCAACGAGATATTTACTACCCTTCACTAATAGAAGGCAGTGTAGCGGGCAAAATAGGGATGTTAAGATTATTTCACCCATTCAATTTTCTAAGCGTATCTTATTTATGAATATTTATATATGAAACAGAATACATTTCCACTTTGCCCGCTATGTTATCTCCTATGCGAAGAACAATAAATCACTCGTTGAAGAATATATAATGAGTTTGTTTTTAATAGAGTCCTGATGAAAATATTTCGCTGAAATTATTTCCATGTTTTGGAACGTTTGAAATTTTTCTGAAATGCTGAAATTTCGCTGATGTTCCAAAAAAAAAAATTTTAGCGAAATTTTTTCACCAGGGAGAGCTTTAGAGAGAGAGAGACAGTCACAGATACATGAAAATGTGAATTATGTACAAATCTACTGCAAACTTTTAATTTCATGTTTGTGGCAGCATTCTCTCGCCTCGAGGACGGAGAAAGGTATCACTACCTTTCTTCAACATAGTCACTGAGAAACGAGGAGTTTGGCGCACAGCACCAGGTGGGTTGCTTGGTAGGATTGGAATTCCGTAGTACTTCAAACCTCGCTGACCAGCTACGGATACTCTTACAGCAGACTCCGGTACAGGATGCAATTGAGACTTGTTAATGACCACTGTCGTTGCTAGATCAGCAAATCCCGACAATATCTTATAATGCTGAGTCAGTAAAAAATGTGCAAAGGGGAACGAGCTTGTAGTCGCATTAATTCTTGCGTGAGCAGCCCAATCGGAGTTAGAACTTAATGGGGATATTGACGAGATTTAAAAAAAAAAAGAAAAATAAAAGATTTTTTTCTCGTTGTTGAAGCAGGGAGTGCAATTAGTAATCTAAATTAGCAATATCTCATTCGTACAATTATACTAGTAATATATTGTAGATATTTCTCGTATTAAATAAACTTATTTAAAATTCTTATATTAAATAATCTACTTAAAACAAATTTTAATAAACATTCAGTTATAAAAATGCAATTATTTATAGTAGAAAATATAAATTTTGGAACATATGTCAAACAAAATTCGTGATAGAGATAATTATAACTTACATAGCTCAAGATTTGGAGTTGCCTTCTTCTCAGGTGGCGAATTGCAAGCAAGTTTGAATTGATCTATTTCTCCTTTCAGCTATAAAATCATCATCAATTTAATTACACTTTTCAATCATAATTAATTTTATTTTAGTATCTATTATTTAATTTTTTTATTTTACATTAGTATCTATTATTAAATAAAAAGTTCATACCCTATCTATTTCTTCTTGAAGCTTCTTATTCTCATCTCGCTTTACATCTAATTGAGTATTAATTGTATCCTTTTCCAATCTCAATGTTTCTAATGTTGCAGTTTTTGTGGCGTCCAGTTTGTTTAGCGAGTCTAGCTCACTTTTACACATAGTAACTGAATCTTCAAGTTCCTCATTTTTCTTTTTAAAATCCATCTGCTGCTCCAAACGGACGTGCAAAGAAGCCAACTCATCTTCCGTGTGCTTAAACCTTTGTTCCAAGTTACCACGCAATGTTACGCACTGATCTCTTTCTTCAGCACTGAAAAGAAGATTTAATTTTTTCATTAAAATGAAATTTGAAATTGTGTTCAACATTGTTGTATACTGTAAATAATAATCTGAAAAAAGAATTTGGCAATGGTTGATGATATTATTACCGATGCAAGTATAAGCCACAAGCAAAAATTTTCATGAAAAACAAATTCACATACATTTGTTGCTTAACAAATTATACAATCATAATCTAGAAAGAGTAGAAACTCGCAATATTTCTGCAACAGTCTGACATCAATATTTCAAGCAACTACCTTCATTATAAACATTTAAACGGCATAGTAACATAACTCTTTGATAAACCTTTAGTAACCACAATTACCACAACTAAATTATATACTGTACCAATGACTGTCATTCATTGCAGAGACAGTGGTTAACAAAATTCAAAGTAAGTAGTAAGATTTTACTTGATGCAACCAGGAATGTTAGTTGCATTGCAGTTTAAGCTCACCTTATTTTAAGCTGTTCATTCAGATCGTCGATCTGCCTGATGAGCTCGAGATTCTCGGAAGACAAAGTCCACCAGCTGCAGACGAGCATGAGACACGCCAGCAGGAGTCCTCCGACTAGGAGGGGCGGGCATCTGCCTCCGCCGACTCTCATACTGTCGATTCCCATCACTCTTGCTTTCGTACGCCGGCTCCCGCTCAACGGAACATATGCCACCTGAATCGTCACGATTTGTCTCTGAAAACAACCTACGTGTCACGCGCGCTTTTTGCGAAACGTGATCCACGCGTAACCCCACTCCGTTGAACGCGATACTTATCGGGCGTCAAAGCAAATTCCATGTGATGTCGTTGACGCACGCTTCGCCTCTCTGCAGTTTCGCGTGATAACCATTTAAAAATCATGTATTTAGGCACTTTAAGGGGGCGTGCACCGATATACGCTACCGGCACCGGCAGCGTTACGACGCGACGCCAGAATTCAGATAATGACAGCGTTTTCCGATAGCGATCCTTTCTGCGAACACGTGTATACAGGGTGTCCCAGAAAGAACGCGTGAAAAATATACAATTACTTTACCGATCCGAGATTCTATTTCCTCTTCGAGTACTCGATCGAATAATTATACTTCTGTCATTATTTTTTGGTATTAAATGTTGGCTAATTTTTTTATTAAACTTGAAATTTGCACGCGCGTGACTTCATTTATTATAAATTAAAGTTTTGTTATATTTTTATTAAAATAATTCAATGAAATCTCTCTCTTTTAGAATTGAGAGTAATACGAAATATATATTGTTAGAGACGTCAAAAAAATGTTTAATGTTATTTTATTTTATTTGTTTCTATTGGCAAAATTGACAATCGGCGACTGGAACCTGAACTGATTACACTGTATTTCAAATGATCGATCGATATCTTTCGCTGTTTATTCAAATCATTTTTCGGAAGTACTTATTTATGATCATATTTACCGCATTCTTTATTTATTTAATATCGTTAAAAAGACAAGATTCAATTTTTCTTTGCAGCTATTTTAATTTTTAATTTGACCCGACGTTCTTCATTTGTCAACACGATCATAAACTATCGGCTTTTTGTCTAATATAAGATAGAGAAAATTGTAGGTCAGCAGTAACCTTGGACTATGTTCAGATTCTCAGCAAAAGAGAATGGATTGAAACGAATTGAAATGGATTCAGATTTTCAGAAATATCGATTCACGAATGTTAAAATGATGCTTTTCAATTCTGAATGCATTTTTATTCATTTATAGGAATTGCATAGAAATATCTCTATGCCTTTCAATCTAAAAATAATATTAGCTTTTTCTACACGCAAACACAATTGTGAATACTGTTCAATTCAAAATTTTGAATAGGAAATGTTTCAATCCAATTGCATCCAATTGAATCTAATTGAATCCAAAAAAAGTATTCGCTATTTAAAATACGCATTCGGATAGAAAAAAATTTCAATCCATTTTAATCTATTCTCGTTTGCTGGGTAATATAAGATAGAGAAAATTGTAGGTCAGTGATAACCTTGGACTATTCAGATTCCTACTAAATGCCACTCATATATCACTTTAGCCTTCCCAGCAATGCGTATTTTAAATAGCGAATACTTTTTTTGGATTTAATTGGATTCAATTGGATGCAATTGGATTGAAAAACTGCATTTTCTATTCAAAATTTTGAATTGAACAGTATTCACAATGCATAGAAAAATCTAATATTATTTTTAGATTGAAAGGCATAGAAATATACTCCATGCAATTCCTACAAATGAATAAAAATGCATTCAGGATTGAAAAGCATTCATTTTAACATTCGTGAATTAATATTTCTGAAAATCTGAATCCAATTCGATTCATTTCAATCCATTCTCGTTTATTGGATTGTTATTTACCGAATGTTAAACAAGGATGACATGACCGGAAAACACGGTGAGAATCTAAACACGTTTTTGACAAGATAAGCGCATGAGTATTTAACATAATTATATGTGATATAAATAAAAGGAACAAATTTTTGTTCCTTGAATATTATAATTATCGACGTTGCTACAATAATCGTAAATTGTAATTATAGGTTTATTTTTAATTTAATGAACTAACAATACTTTCAGAAACTAATTTAAAAAATATAATATAGTTAAATTTTGATACGATGCTTCGTCAACCAGCGAATCATCTCGCTGGTAGACAATTGCAAATGATTTTATGAGAATTATTTTTAAAATGCTTAATCGTGCTTGTCTACATTCTATAACTGTTAATAGAAAACGTAAACACTTTGCACTTTGCACGTGATACAATCGATTTCTAGATCCTTGATGGAGATAGATTTATGGTTTGGTCATTTAAGGACGATTATCGCCTCTGTAAATGTTGCATCATCACGCCGCATAAAATCCGCTGGATATGCATTAGTAAAAATGACCTTGCTGCTATCTTTCCTTTCACGATTCCCAACAAAATATCATATATTGATCTACCATTATTTGCAATTTAAACGACTAAAGGAGTTTTCATATACATATGTAACAGATTGAATTAATTCGACGTAAAAGAAATATTAATCTATAAAAAAGTTGATCGAATGGAAGGATAAATTATCTTTCTTTTTATTTTTTTTTATAAGTAGATAATAAAAGTCATAATCAAGTTTTTTATATGCACTAAATTATAATATTATTACAAAGGATTAATCATTTATGCTCATACATCTGTATATTTAAATTAAATGTAAAGTAAGAAAGTTAATTAATTTTTGACTTAAACAAACATCTCAAATTATATAACTTATAATATATACGTACTAAAAATACCTTTAAATTGCAGTAGCGTTAAACAGGTCAGGATTTTAGCAGACGAGCACAGGTAAACATCTACAAATAACGCACTTATGTACAAAAACATCGCATTTATTCTGTTCTTTTAATTATATGTATATATAACATATATTTACTTAACACTGTTCCATCGAAGAGAACTCATAGCCAATCAGAACAAACAGAATATATATCCGGCCTTGATGAAAAAAAAAACCAACAGGATAGTGTCACCGGATTTACGGCACGCGATTCTTTCTAATCAACTAATTAGACACAGAGTTCAGGACAATTGAAGATCGATCGTAGATTGTGAGTACTGTGAGCAGTCCTGTCCGTCAACAGGATGAGACTGATGCGCGACTCGCCGTTTGTTCGCTCATTATCTCGACGAGCGCGATCGCAACCAGTAACACCGGTCTGATAAAACGCATTCCCGCTCGCGATGCACTGTTTGCAGCGATCGAAACTGTTCTGACACTTATCTATACAGTAATAGGATCGCTTACTATTCATTTATGCAGTATTTCTTCTCTTATAGACTCTATTTTACACAATTTTATCAATCTATACTTTTTGATTTCGTCAAATCTTAGAAAAATGGAAATTCGACATGTATTCATAAATTTTTATCGATCATCTGACGCGAGAATATCGTTAGTAATGTGAGCCGATTAATTTATATCATCATTTTAAATAATTGTGGACTTGATTTATACTTTCTTCAACATTCGATTATTAATATTACTTATCATATAAAATATATTCGAATTAACAAAAGAGAACACGGCTATGTTTCCATCAATTTTAGGGCTTATTTAATTTGATTTAATTTATTCATGTTTGAATTTATTTTTTCCTATTTTTCTATTAATTTTATCTTATATAATACTTAATGTTATACAATGAATAATTTTAATAAATTATACAGTTTAAATAAATCCAAGCCATAATCATTATTAAAATGAATTAAAAATGAATAAATGTACGAGTAAAATGAATAAATGTACGCAATTTATTCTTTTCTTTCAAGCGGAAAACGATCACTACTTTCAGAACATCCGGTATTGTTAATTTATTCATAGCGATGTACTCTGTATTGATGCTTCGTAATGCGTTAAAGTCGCGTGAAGGTTGTTTCGAAAGTGAACAAACCGAGTACGCAACATTTTCTTTTATCGCCTTTTCACATTCTTTACAATCTTTCTTTACAATACTCGATTATACATATATTTTAAGAGAAATAAAATATATCATAAATTTCTCTAACGGCTTTCTTGTGTTTTTTGCATCATTGCGTGTCAGACGCTGGGATCAATTAAGGATCATTTGTCATGACCTGTATTTCTTGTTTATACTGATACTTCTGGGAAACGTAAGCCGGTCGTTACATCGTTCTTGTTTATTGCGAGGAAAAGATCAAGTTTACTTGATTGAAATAATCGCAAGATAAGTAACGTAAGATAATAACATTTATAACGTAATCAGGTAAATCGAATGGCAAAGATTTAAAGTAAGTTTAATTTATCTTTATCTTAATTTTGAAAATATGGTTACAGATGAATTTTTCAATGATTATTGAAAATCTACGAATTGAAACTAAATGTATTTGCCATCGACAAATTCAATTAATTTCTTTTTTTTTAAATGATTTATTGTCAGTGATCGGTAGCACATGTGCTACACACGCAATTGTGAAAATTGCGATGCATTTACAGTGAGAGTTTGCATATTGTATTGTATTAAACTCGTGCGATAAAAGCGACGATATTTCTTGTCTAGACTCTGCAGTTGGAAAATATTGCACTAATCAGTTCTAAAAATAATCTGCAAAGCCATGTTAGACGAACGAATAGATATTTGATGTTTCTTCCATATATTAGATGTACAAATGATTCAATGAAAAAGCAATTCGTTCCTTAGGCTAACCATGCATCTTTATTTTTCTGCTGTCAATCGCAGACCCTACTTAATGACATCGTATGAATTAAAACAAGTATAACGTAACATACATTTTAGATAGGACAAATAATTTCGTACATTCTTATATTAAGAAAGAAACGAAAAAACAATGTAAAAAATATATCGAATATAGAGATTCTTTAACTTATTATTTTACATTCATCGTTATGTAACGGAAAAAAAGTAAGTATGGAATAGGTATTTTATATAAATACAAATTTTGAATATATAATTAAAATATTGATAAAAAAAATATTTTTCATATGTGCATCGGGTCTGCGATTAGGCACGCTAGTTCCGTAAATATAGCGACATCCGTGTATTATCTAATGTTATTCGAAGGACTTATTTACAGTGATTCATTGTAAATCCTTAGAAGATGTGTACGAGAGAGAAAGGATTGTAATTAACAATTACAATCTTCACTTCCTTACTTTTAATTTGTTACGTATATTTAATTTTATATACGCGCTTTCTACACACATACATCTTTTTATAATTCTCTCGCACGCATCATTCCAATTTACATAGTTATAGCTTATTACAAAACGGTATATAGTAATTATATACTCATCACTATATATTACGAAACTTTCGTCGTGTGATGTACTATTATAAATCAATTAGATACACTCACAATCAAGAGTATCTAATTTTGTCCGGCGACATGTATAAGTATATCGAACCGGAAATCCTTATCAAAAAATACAAATCCGCTTAATATCATTGCAGGTTTCATGCAGTGCAATATCATCCATTTAGTACACATTATCCACAACGCGCTAAATTATATCCATTGAAACATCATCGCAACCTTTTATATCCTATTATATAGCGCGTAATAATCACTTTCACCATAATCTTTTTATTAGTGTTTTCTAATAACCTGCGAATTTTTAAATATACGATTAAGATTTAGTATAGAAAAAGGATTTGTAGGAAAGTCATGGTCCGACGCTGACTTGGATCTTTTGGTCTCTCGTACAGCAGATTAGTTCAATCTGATTGAGAATCTTTTCAATCGGTATATAAAAATAAGATAGTAAATAAATTATGTATTTGCTAATCAGTATTTTCTATCTTTAGTAAATTATAAATTGAAAAAATGATTCATTATGAAAATGTCTAATTAACTTTGCCCAATTTAATACATGTCCTATGTTATTAATTATTGAAGTAATATTATTTTTTATTAATATCAATAGGAAACGTAACAATTCTATTCGCGTTTGTTTTTTTATATAACAGTTCTGCTCGATTATGATTGAATAAGACAGGAATTAAATAAATATGTATTCGTTACTGCCAAACAAGACATTAATTCTCAAAAAGACAACAAAATAATTTGAAGGTATCAATAACTGTAATAAATTTTGTAATATTTTTATTGTTGTCGCTCTAGTATTTTTGTCATAAAATTTATAGTATTATTTATAGTGTTTATACGTAAAGAAAAAACAAAACATACAAGTTTGTGAAATGGAAAATTTATAATACAGAAAGCAAAAAGTTAATTACTATAAGAAAAATGATTAAATTAAAATCAAGTAAATATTCAATTTTAAAGCATAACACATGTATATACATTTTTATAAAAACACAAAATATTGTTTTTTTCTAGTGTCCATAATTCACACAATCTGGTATAAAGCATAATGAATGAAAGATTGTATATCGTATAAGAAATTTATCTATATTTATTTGCACGACATACTTCGGTGAAGAGTATAAATGCAGTAGAGTAGCAGGCGATTTACAAAGAAAGGGATACCGGTGAGACGCATAGTTGTAGTGACAATCCAAGATATTTTTATACACAAGACTTGTGTGTACAGACACAGATATAGATTAGTGTCATCTCCTGTCAACAAAATATATAAACAAAATTAAATAGCTGATAACTCCTTATTGATTAAATACAGATAGTCGTTCTATTTTTTCTCGTTTTTTTTTTTAACATAGAGGATCAGCACGAACAATATTAAAACAATGCATTTAAAAGTATATACCATTTAGTTATCCCATTTACATTATACACACTATATCTTCATCGGCATTTCCAGGCAATGTTTCTAAAGATGTCGAGTATAAGAATCCATGTAAAAGATAAACAATTGCAATTGTACATTTAATTTAAAATTCTTTGGTACTATGAGAGTACCCTCCATGGTTGGAGATAATCTTTCTATAACATACAGATTTCCTAGTAAACTTTGTAAACGTAAAACGTCAATATAACAAATTGAGCGTTTGGGACGCTGTGTTAGTAGATGATGTTCTATTTGCTTATGACATATATGGATAACGGAAAGCATATGTATATGGATCTAAAATAAAAATATACGCTTAAATTATTGCAGCTTTAACATAGCCTCAAAGTCAACCGAGAGAAGTGAGACTACCGACAGCTTTCGTAATAAATTTTTCCACTTATCAAAAACTTATCCAGTATTTTGATTAAAATATAATATTATGCTCAAAAAAAATGTTAGAGGGATATTACATGTGCTCCTTTCTAAAACGATATTGTATCTTTTTCTCTTACCTTTCCTTCGCGCATTAATTGTCCAATATTTGCTATTTATCTTAGAGCTATAAAAGATTAGAATTTATGTTAAGGATATACAGCCTACAGTTATTCAGATATATCAATATTCAAACAATTGTTTCGTTGCTGTCTAAAAATATCCTTAACTTTCCATGTGTGAAGTTTTCTTTTATTCACTAAAATATGAATAACCATCCTAGTGCCCGATTCTTAAAGATATTCATTAATTACATATATAGTATAATTCATTTAATAGATATATTATACAAAATATCTCTGCATCGTTGCAATTGTTTGACAAAAGCATATAAGTAACTTAATATTACACATGTTTAATAGATAATTTTATATTATGAGGATGCTTCTTAGTATCGATAACATATTCCTGTCGCATTTGGCAGTAACACAAAAGTATCGGAATAATATATAGCACCGATCGTCACGTAAAACTGGATCGATGACAATAAAAGCTTCCGTTACTGCGTGAAACTAAAACATAAACGAGCAGATTTAAATAGGAGATTAATCAAGGTTAGACAATACATATATCTCCCAATTATTCTATCTTATGAAAAAGTATTTTATTACTTCAGAATGCGATAAACACAATTTTTCAGTGCGAGAATTTTATGTACACTAAATACCCTACATTTCAAAAGCGAGCTTACTCTGCATATAATGGTGAATGCAAAAAGAATGCAGATACTCCATCAATGATAAATATATTATAAAGAATTTGGATGTTTAAAATAGACATCTTTGTCAAACATATATATATATATATATATATATGTATATATATATATATATGTGTGTGTGTGTGTGTGTGTGTGTGTGTAATTGTGTAAACAAATGTATGTAAAATGTCGAACATGAATCCTGTTCGGTTATTCATTCCCATACAATGTCATATATTGAACTCATCTGTTGTCAGATAATGAGAAAATTATAAATGAACATGCCAACCGTGTTCTTACGTGATGCAAGTATGAGCATTTAGATGCGATATGTCGTACCGTCCGTTAGAAAACACTATAAACATGGAAAAAACTTACTTAACTCCAAAAAATAACCATGTCGCCATTAACGGTACT